TTTTTTTTTTCCCAAAAAAAAAAAAAAAAAAAAAAAAATTCGCAAACAGTGCCGCAATAATAGAATCTACCTGGAACTACTGGATGACGAGCTTCGCACTCCTAATCATCACATCTTCCAACCAGGTGCCGTACGCCGTGCCGGTCGACCGTCCCTACCCAGTACAGGTGCCCAAGCCCTACCCGGTCGAGGTGACGAAGCACGTCCCAGTGCCTGTGGACCGCCCGGTCCCCGTACCATACAGCGTCCCGGTGAAGGTCCCAGTGCCGGCGCCGTACGCCGTCAAAGTGCCGCAGCCGTACGCCGTGCCCGTCGTCAAGCACGTACCGGTGCCGGTCGCGCAGCCGGTCGTCGTTGAGAAAGTGCACTCTGGTCTCGGCTACAGCGGTCTCTACGGCGGCTACAGCGGCTATAGCGGCTACAGCGGCTACGGCAACTACGGCGGCTACGGCGGCTATGGATACTCCTCCTGGTAAATCCGAGGACCGACGCGAACTGCGGATCCCGAGCGACGCTCCCCTGACGACGCCACCGTCGCCGCGAGACGCCGTCGGCTGAACTCCTTGAGACAGGAAGGACCCCCGGAAGAGGACCGCGGAGGACCGATCGACGACAGCCGATGCCCAAGTGTCGAATACTTCCGTCCTCGCGAAAATTCACGGACGATCTCTCGCGGATTTTAACAATCTCCTACCGAATCCGCATTTCTCTTCTTCTTCTTGTCTTTCTCCTTCTTCCTGATGTTTCCTGGGCTTGTGCTTCCTCTCATCGGTTCTTCGTCTCGTGATGAGTGAAGTGTCACGGCAGGAGGAGAGCGTCCTCCAGCTCTCGCGCGAAGAGACATTACCGCGAGTACCGCAAACGCGATCGAATGTCTTCGATCGTCACTGTGACTACCTTTAGCCCTGCGTATGTTTCTACCTGTAATCTCACTATACCGATTGTTCAACATCGAAATAAAGATTTTCGTACGGAATTAGCTGCGGATGTCCCTGGTCTCCTTCTCTCTCTCTCTTATTCGCCGCAACCATACGCAAGTTTCTTAATTGGTGCCCACCAATTATATAGCGTTGTTTCTGATTAAGATTTAACTTGGGAAATGTTGAGCCATTTCTTCTGCGATATTTATATTAGTAGTCGTTAATTGAAGCTTATCTTTACACGAGATACTCAGATGAATACAGTGTTGGACGTGAGTTCCTCAGTTGAACCGCAGTTACTCTGGATGTGCTCTGAACGTCCCAGGACTTTACTCACGACATCCTAGATACTTATATATCGTATATAATTCAACTGAACAATTCAGATTTAACTCAAAATTTAAATTTGAGTATCCAACGTGAGACAAGTTTCGAGTAAGGACTATTAATAAGAATCTTAAGGAAATGATTACACAAATAAAACTTTTTTTTATTTTTTATATAACATGTAATATACTGCCATTCATTGACATTTGTACTTTGTATAAACATTTACACTTTGTATAAACTCTGTATAAACATTTATACTTTGTATAAACTCTGCTTACGACATCTTGGATACTTATATATCGTATATGATCCAACTGAACAATTCAGATTTAACTCAAAATTTAAATTTAAGTATCCAACGTGAGACAAGTTTCAAGTAAGGACTATTAATAAGAATCTTAAGGGGATGATTACACAAATAAAACTTTTTTTTTTATTTTTTATATAACATGTAATACACTGCCATTCATTGACATTTATATGTTGTATAAACACTTGCAATTCTTCACAGTTAAGTAGAAAGACAGTGCCAAATACAAAGCTGCATTATATCGAAGCAGCATCCTCTTTATGAAGTAGTAATTATTGTACAAAATCCAGATTATCAGTATTGCTTTTTTATACAGACGCGCGTCTATAAGCCGTTAAGAACAGGCTCATATTTTATAGACAAAAGACAATACTGATTGACTGAATTTTATTTAACGAAACCTACTTTATTAATCATGAATTTTTATGACAGGAAAAGTTGTTTCAGGATTTTTTTACGATTTTTTATAAGGAATAATCGATTGTGATTAATAGAAATACTCAAACAAATTGAGAAACACTCTGCATTTCTGCGCGTTTGCAGAAATGCGCGAAACGGACAGATGGACGTGTTTAACGAATGAATGGTGAACGGCCAACGAGACACGTTGCGCAAACGATCGAACGAAATATAGTCGTTTCTGGAGCAGCAATAATTTCTGGGCGGAGAACCGCGACGATCGGGATTGCGCGCGCTTAATTCGCGAGCGCGAAAGCGAAATTTAAGGTCGTGTTATGAGAGAGGCGGTTACATGAACGCGGTGAAACGTTCATTAAACGGAGAACGGGGACACCTCAAGCGCGCACGATTAATGGGATTTGCATGCGGCGCGCGTACGGCCGAGATATGTGCGATTCCCGTTGAGCAAGAAGTGCGAGTTGCCAGGAGCAGCTGCCTCGATACAAAGTGTCGCAATCGTCGCCGGATGTACGAAGTATTTCGGGTGAACAATGAAACTTTGATTCGGAATATTGTTGAGCGTAAATTGAATTTTAAATGACTAAAATAGGCCATAATCAAAATTAATCGATCATCATCGCGTGTAATCATGAATTTAACTTTCAGCATACAATGTCAAATCTGTGAGACCAGAGTGAATATTTAATCACTCATCAACTTTTGAAAGGAAGAATGTGGGAAAATTTCAAACTAGTGCAAATTTGTTTGAGAATTTTGATTTTATTGTTTTTTATTGATTTTATTGACTTTTACTGACTTTTATTTTTATTTTATCGATTTTATATATTTTCATGTTATTTACACTACTGTTTTTTATAACTGAGGCTTTTCTATGTCTCTTAAAGAAACATGTTTAAAAATATCGATTTTCAACTAAGTTATGGTACTTTAAAAATACTGAAATTTAACAAACTCAAATTGTACTGTCTCAAAATATATCTCAAAAATATGATTATATGCTTATATGATTATATACTGAGAGTTAATCGATTATTGAAATTAATAAGCTCATTAAACTTCAATTTGATCCATTACGCAGAATTAATAATAGAAGATTGATTATACACAGATGGATAATTTCATTAATCGATTGAATTATTCATGATTTCATATATGACGATTGATTTCAATGATTGATTTACCAATTATTTCAGTCGACTGAGATTTTAGTCGATTAAAATGCTCAGAGGAAGGCGAAGGAACGAAAGACACGCGGCCTATGAAAACGTCTTTATTAAAAAACGATGCAACATCAACAGTCTAACATCGCAAACAGAAACTTAACACTCCTCTCGGAGAAAACATATTTATCTATATAAATAAAAGTATATGTACGTGTGCCTCACGCACGTGGTACTCAATCAAAAGCTCCTCGATTTTCGCGCTGACAGGATTAACAGTGTCATTAAGCCGAATCATTAAATATGTGCGAAAGTTTGGGTCACTTTCTTTAGCGCACTCTCTGATACAATTATTTAAAATTTTCATAAATTCCCTCCTTTTTGACATTCTAAAGGATCGAAATCTGTATGAAATGTTATATCGTGATTCAATGACAACGATTTACATATTTCGAAAATAAAGCTAGAGTCGCGAAAAAAAACAAGCTTTTCCGCACACCTAACGCTACGGCACAATCCGTGATTGTGATTCCCGGATAAAACTGTTTGTTCAGAAGAGTTTGATTTCTAGTTGGAGAAATATCGCAAGACGCATTTCGCCGGCACGTTCAGCGCTAAACTCGCCGTCGCGACGCGAGCTTGCATCTCTAAATGGCAGAATTCTCGCGTATTTCGCCTGTCGTCTGCGCGTTACCGTTATCGTCTCTTCTGACATTACACGCTAGATTGAGCCTTTATAAAATTTCTCACACCTGCTCTTTCTATCTTCCTCTCTCTCTCTCTCTCTCTCTCTCTCTCTCTCTCTCTCTCTCTCTCTCTATCTCTCTCTTTTT